ACTTCTTATATATATATATATATATATATATATATATATATATATATATATATATATATGTGTGTGTGTGTGTGTGTGGCGTTTTTATGGTGAGAAATACGTTGACGTGCTTATGAGGAAACACCGTGACTTTGTGTTCATGATTGACCTTGGCTACCAGGTGGCGCCAGCATACGATCATGATTATTACATCTACTGACGCGCAACTGAGGAAGGTTGTTTGTTATTAATTCATACGAAATATTTGACTTGCCATAATAATGTTTGTGATATGTAATGCAAGACTAGTGCGTGTGCTTCTATAAATATGTACACTCGTTTGTTATTAATTCATACGAAATATTTGACTTCCCATAATAATGTTTGTGATATGTAATGCAAGACCAATGCGTGTGCTACTATAAATATGTACACTCGGGACTATAATTAGACGGATGTGAAAACATTTTATGATAAATTAATGTTATGGTTATTAATATAATGATATAATTATAACAAATTAAAAAATAAATATTTACACACGCGCACACACACACGTAGGAACGCGCGCAACCACGCACGCAGGCACGTGCACGTGTTCTGAAATATATTACTTTATAGTGTTTTAAACAAAACCTGCACCTAAAGCGCATATACATGTAACGTGTTTTCCTCTTCAAAATTCATTTGACTATGTTTGCTCATTTTTGCGGACAAGCAAACCAAAGGTAAATACCACATAATTTACTGTGTGTGTATAAACTCTGTGTACTCAAACGATCATCGTATCGATTAATCAGTGTTGAACGGCTGTATATACTTAACCTCGCAATATTCTACATACTGCACGGTTATATTCATCACAAATGATTTGTGAGAAAAGAACTGCACGGGGATTTCTGTTTCGTTTACAAAATACGACCTTCCCCGTTGAAATCTATTCCCGGCACTGAGCGTTTTCTACAGCTTTTTTGTTATTAAATGAAAATATAACAGACGCGTATCTGATCTGAACATATCAGCGGGAATAGTAGAGATTAACAGTAGAGATAGACAGTAGATATTAACATATTTGCCCTTTAAGAGATATTAAGCGAGATATATAATTCTATGCATACACTGATAAGCATGAAAGCAGGAAAAAAGAGAAACAAGAAAGACAATAAAGAATTAAGAAGACAGAGGAATGGCAGAGAAGAAGGAAATGGCAACTTTTGAGAGCTAGGTGTGATGACAACCACAAAAGCAACCACACATTGCACGATGTACAATATATCATAGAATATATTAATAAAATTAGGATATAGACAGGATAGATACTATGCAGTCTAACATTTATATATTTTTGGTAACATTAATAATGAGAAATAGAGGTCGCCAGTAGCTAGTGTGACGTGAAGCTATATTGCATATATACCAGCTGACTGCACCGACTCTGGTCATTTTCCCGCCAATTCTACCGTATAAGCATCGTTTGTAAGTACACATACGCGTGATAACTTCTCACTACATCAATACAGTTCGATTAAGATTTTACAAGATATATATAGCTTGAGAAGGAAATACAAGTCTCTATCTTTCTTTGTAAACGCTTGTTCGTTTAAGATTTTACAAGATATAGAGAGATCTAAATATTTCAGAAGTATCGTTTTTATGTTTGCTGCAAATGACATGCGTTTTTATGTTTGCTGCATTTCACAAATTTCGTCAGTTGTTCGTCGTCGTATTTTTCTTGTTTTCAGTATGGACAGTCATCGGCGTGGTAGTTGGTGCACGCTGGAGTTTCAATTGAAGGTAAGAATATCACACAAATTTACGAGTATTAATTGTAATGCATTAGAGTAGCAACTAGCTTAAAAAAGAAAATATCGTTTCTAATATCTATCTAATCCCAAATCTCATTTCTTTCTTCGTGAACGTCTGTGCACATGTAGTGTAGTTTATACTAAATACGAACTAAATTGTAAAGTGTAAGTTGTAAAGTACAGTTTTTAAAACGTATCTGATCAGTTAATGGCTGCTCGAGAAGTAGCCCACTACGTCACCTTCACAACATGAGTAGTTGACTCGAGAAAGTCACGTGATATAAATGGCTTCATTCTATACAGCACACTCGAATTATTAAAGGCCGGAGATAAAACACTCATGCAGACGCGCACACATGCCGGAAAGATAGCACGCACGAACACACACACACATACATGCACGCGCACGCACGCAGACAGACAGGCACACATACACATACGCGCGCGCACATATATATTTACTCATGATATATGTGTCTTACCTTTATATCTGCGTCTTTCATGGCTGCTGCTGCTTCCTCTGGAAATCGCCTTCGTTTATCCCACGTTCGTTACACACGCACATACGCACGCACGCACGCACGCACACACACACACACACACACACACACACACACACACACACACTACACACACACACACACACACACACACACACA